ATTAGGTATAACTGATTTGGTCCTCGTTAAGGCCCATGAATTGGACTAAATCATTGGTGAAGAAGTTATAAAATAGTGTAGAACATTGTTTCGGTCACTTTCTCGAAGCCCAATACTCAACAAGTGGTTGGTCCATTAGACCAAAATCTGAAACGCAGGCTTATGTGCCTTAATAGGCCACAAAACACAAAAAGGATTTCTAGTGGCCTACCATCAAACCAACGTTTTAGGGAGGTCACAAATGCAATGAAGTTTATTATTATTATTATTACTATCATTATTATTATTTATTTTAGTTTGGACTATCATAGTTTTTTTTAGTCAGCTTTTGCGAATCTTATAAAAAGTAATTCTTAATTATAATCATCTAAATCTTTGTTTAGTTTTGTTGCTGTTTTTGGTTTTTAATTTTAGCTGCTAAAAATTAAGCAATATTAAATTAAAATAAACAAGTTTAATAACGTATAAGTTGGAGTAAATTCATGTACTAATTCACTTGTATTAAGGTACGATCTGTTGTGCTAAGGGAAGAGAAAAACCCTATTCATAAGCTGAGAACCCTGCACCGCATCATGACAAACAAGTGCAAAAGAGAAGGGACCTCTGCAGAAGAGATGGAATGGAAGCGACCAGGGAGGAGGAAAGGAATGGGGAGGCGCCCCACTTAAAGTAACCACAGACCTACACCTCCATGAAATTTTTTTCTAAAGGAAATATATGAATAATTAATACTTTTAGATTTAGCACGCATCAATTTGAATTAATTTAAAATATAAAGAGTAAGCCAAATTTGACTAAGAGCATTTTGGGAGACAATAAGATAATCCACTAATACTATATATGTTCTAAAATTAATAAGCAAGCACTGTACAAAAGATGACCACATCTAGTGGAGGTGGCAAGTTTAAAAACTTATAAATTGTGATTAAGCAATAGAAATATTATAATCAAATGACTCGCAAGCAATGATTATAGTTGTAGGGTTAAAATTTTTGAGTTCAACATATAATAAAATTAATTTTTTTAAAGTATATTAATTTAGTATGGGAGATGCATATTAAAATTATTTTAAATTTAATTATTTTCAAAATATATAAAAATTAATATAAAAATATCCTAACAGAAAATAAAAGAAAATTCCGTCATTGACCTCTAATTTTTATTGAGGGCGGAGCCGGAGGTAGGCTGACCATGCGGTGATTGTCTCGATTGTTCTCTAAAGTCAAAACACGCGAAAATGCGGCAGACACGGGTCTTTGTCGGAGACATAAAGTCTTTTTTAACAAATTTATATTGACAATACTATGGTTAT